TATGCAAACCAAAAGGTGTGCATTTCTAGATAATACTGTAAATACTCAAAATTTTGTAAGTATATTTGATAGGAACGAGAAAAAGAAGGGTATGGAAAATTGCATGTGGGCAGATAAACTTTTTAACTGAGACTGACTTTTCTTTCAGGAAATATCCAAAGGATATTCTACAGAAAGTCTTTCTGTGCCTTTTACTTGACAGTTAAAAAGGAAGATATTTCTGGTTCTGGCTTGTGTCCTTCTGACTGAGAGGATGAAATGTGCCAAGCACATTTAAGTTCCAATTTTTCAAAAACAATTTTCAATGATCTTTTGATGCTGACCTCAGATAGACTAAGGGAGCCTGAATTTTGACTCAAAGTGATTGGTACTTACTGTGTGGTGGGTGTCTTTCTTATTTAGGTGGGACAGCTCATGTTATCAGTATAATTCTCTAAAATTCATCTTCACTGCAGCTCACTGTACTTTTAGTCACAAATAGCATCAGGAGGAGGCCAAGCAGAGCACAAGTACCTTGATCAGCATTAATTCCTAATGCTGGAATCAGTATTTCATGCACAACCTATCAAGGCACTGTTGCCATCTAAATGATGAATAGAAAGCCAATTTCTTTGCACAGGTCCCTTTGCAACAAGTCCAAATTGCCAGTTATCCTTGGTGAAGGAGTGAGGGAACGTGGAACCCTACAACTCTGTCCATGCTGAAACTCATTCTTGGATCTCAAGAAACCTTGTCCTTCTTATCACACTAGTCTTTTCCTTAAGTTTGTATTTTATTGACATGTCCCACCAACTATGTAAAAAGTAAAATAGACTGGTATTAACTAAATGATATTTAGTTCTTCACTCCTCCTAACCACACCTGCCAATACAAAAGGATTTTGGATTTCTTGTCATGTCTACTTGCACTGCGTCAAACCTGAAAAGATTCTCCCAAAGGCAGTAGTAGTTCCAGGAATTCTCTCTCAAAAAGTTTTTTTCCTATTTGAAGTTTTATCTAATTCCTGTGATTTCAGGGAAGAGGACTTGGAGGAGGGAAGGAACATAACCTCCTCCCCCAAAAATCCAGCATGGACCTCCAAGTCCTGTGGGTGTTATTCAGGAATTAATTTCTTATGGAAATATCACTGGTGCTTTTTCTGTGTGCGAGCTCTGCAGCCCTTCCTTAGTCATACTTTCCCATGTAAAGCTCATTTTATGTAGCTTCAGAGCCTGGGGTGTCAACCCAGAAATTTGCTGATTGAAGTCAGCAGGACAGACTTTCCAGCGTAACAAAGTGAGGCCATTGCTGAACACCACCTACCTGTATGTAGTTCTGTGAAGCCAGATACAGATTCAAATAATGAAAATTTCAGATTCAAATAATGAAGCTGAAATCAAAGGGCACCTTTTAGATAAAATGCTTCCCCGTGATGGAACTGGTCTTCTGTGCCAGAATGTAAGTACCAGTTCAACATGCATTATCATTTTAATGGATGAGAGGTGTTGATCTGAAGGTATGGTAATGAAGGAAAATGCGGAAAAAAAAAAATAAATCTGTATTTGTCTTCAATAAGAAGAATTTTAATTAAAAATAAAGGTCTAAATATTAAAATATAGAACGTGTATGGGTTTTAATTTAGGATGTTTATGAAAATTTTCTTAGATTTTTACAGGATTTAGAACTCCATTTATTTGATAAAAACATTTTTCTTTTGATGCATGTTTTCCACTGTTCCTTACTTTCCTTTTGAGTGAGACAGACAGCTCTCCCCTCTCTGACTCACATCCACAAGTCAGTAAGACTTAGAGAAATTGCGCAGATAATTTAGACAGTCTTTTGCTGCCCATTACATGCTGACCTAAACTGTAAGTATCGTACCAAGTTGTCACATATAAAAGAAGATTTAAAATTCAAATCCTGTACACCTGAAACCTTTCATTTTTTCATATTGTTTTCCCATGTTTGCTATTCTATTAGTCCCATCTCGCCTTGTATTTTTGTCCATCCATTCTGCCTCCCCACATCCAAACTTCAGTGCAATTTCAACTCTCAGGCTGCCCTACAGTTTCATTTCCTGCTCCAATTTTCCACTTCACTGAATATTAAAGTGCTTATAATGGGGATATCTTTTATGTGCTATGTCTGTAGTGTGAATTGTGATTGTCCATATGCTGTTATTTGTAAAGGTGCAAGTCTCTTGTTACTCTGTAGCAGTAGATATCTGTATTTTAATTAATATCACAATGGAGATGGCTGCAAGATACCTGCCAATTTTTTCTATCATCAATATTGTAAAATTGACTCCTATGGACCAGTATCTTTAAATTTTACTGCTTTACATAAATGAAGAGTGATCAGAATAGCAGAAATGTTGCAGGAGAATGGATTGCAAGCAACTTTGCCCCTGATGAGTTGCAGCTGTACTAATTACCAAAGAGGAGGAACAGCCTTGCCCTTAATGGGTCCACAGCTATGCCCTGTGTGGATGGGTGTTATAAAAGAGTGGGTTAGCCAGCTGAGAGGAGGGTTTGTTGTGAAGACTGTCAGAGTCTGCTGGCAAGAGTCTGCTGGCTGTGCTGTGAGGAAGGGTTAGGCTTGTTTCTTGAAGAAAAAAGTGTCCCATCTTATTTCTACCTCTAATGTGAGGTCTACAGTGACAAAATATAGTCTGTAGCGTGATGATAAACCATGCTGTTGATGAGCCAGAAATTATCCAGATTTCTTCTCTTTCTCACTAGTATTTTTGTTGAACAGGGATCAACAGCTGGAAAAAAGTGGTGACATAGCAGTTGTACTAATATTTACTGTCTCCCTTCCCCTTTAAAGTTTCTATGTTGAAAAATCACAACTCCCTTAGGAGCATTTTTCTATGAATGCTATTCAGGAGGGAAACTAAAGTGAAATCTCATTTTAAAATAACACCAAATAAACAATAACAAGAAAATAGGGAGAAAATGGGGTAAATTGTATTAAAGGATTATTAATTTTAAATATCTTCTATTTCAGATTAAAGCATGAGCAATATACAGAGAAAAAATTTCTTTGAAGCACATCTTAATGGAGAAATTTTCTCTGAAGTATTGATTACAAAAAATGTTATATGCAACAGACAGACTGTATGGAGCGAATAATCTGATCATTTGCTGATAATTACTTTCTAAAATCTAGTTGATGGAGAGCAACACACACATTGATAAACCAGTTGATGAAAAAGCATTGGCTGCTGTCAAAGGCCATTAAATGGGGCACAGCCAGTGCAGATCAGCTGACTGAGGAGAAAGAGACTGCCTGACTAAGAACACATCTTCATTTTCCTCACCCACTGGCATGAAAAAGCATTTTTGGGCTTGGTGATGAGGGTTCTACTACTGTATCAGACAACAAGGATCTAAAAGGCACAAGAGAGTTTCCTCCCTCCCTCTCCTAGCCCAAAGTCAATCAAATCCACTCTATTCTGCTAGTACTTTCTACCTTTGTTATCCTTTGGTGAAGAAAGTGCATGAGTAATCAGTTAAGAACACCTCTTTTCATGATTTTTTAAAAATCACTCTTAAAGTGGTGGAATCAGAAGCCAAACTGGCCAGAAAGATATACTCTGGAGATGTGAAAAAATACTCCAAAGAATTTGGGAGCTCTATGCACACTGAGATTTTGTTTTGATCTTTCACCAGTTTAGCAGCATGGTAAGACACTACTGTAATCTTTAAGACTAATCATTTCTTTGGTTGCTGTGATATGTTTTCTTTGGTTTTCTGCATTAGTTTTGGGTTTGGGGTTTTTTGTGTGATTACTTTTTTCTTTTTAAATAATATTTAAGTGAGAATTAAGTAAGTACCTACTCTTACTAAACATCACTACTGCTGCAGTTGGCATGTTAAATCAACTTCTCAATTGAAGTACAGGAAGATGTGTCAGGCACATGTGGGACTGAGCAGATGTCAGAAATACATAGTCTCAGGAAACACAGCTGGACTTATTAAATGTATGAGACATTTCCTTTTGGAAGGTAAAAGACCTTCTGATCTGTGTTTTGAAAAATCAGTGAAAAGTATTATGATACTAGGACAGTTCCCTTCCTGTATCCTGGAAGGATACAGGCTCAGGTTAAGAGGGTTGAGTTCCAGTGTTTTGCTTTGTCTTGCTTTGCTATGTTTGCTGCTGGAGTTCTACTCTCCATATCAGGGAACTCCACACTTGGCCAAACAACAAAAATAAATGCCAGGAGTGAATTTGGGGCTTGGTATCTAGGAAGGATGACTTTGCCAACCTTGAGTGACTGGTGCTGCCTGATCCCTAGAAGATTTTGGGGGACTTGAGTGTTAGGGGAGGACAGAAATTTTTGTTATGACTGCCCTTCGGTTTTGATTAGAAGTTGTAATTTCACAAATAAGATCAAAAACACAAAACCAGCCTGGAAACAGTTTACTGCTGTTGGTTGCTACACTGAGACAGGAGTGAGAAATGGATGGGAAGAGGATGTCAAGAGCAGGAGAATGGTAAGTCAAGTGTAGCACATTCAGCAGCATGGGCATGGTAACCCCAGAAGAGCTGATGGCTGTGGTAACCCCAGAAGAGCTGATGGCTGCGCCAGGAAGCCCAGTCCAGGCCAAGCTGGGGGATGCAGGTCCCTCAACCGTGGCACCCATCTACTGCACGTGATGCTGAGCCACCAAAGCAGTGAAAAGTGTTAAAGGAGCTTGGACCTGGGAGTGACTCCGACTTGGTGAAACCTCTCGGGTAGTAAGTAGCTGCCTAAGGTTCTCCAGCTGTACAAGGAGGCTTGTGCCAGAAGTGGACGCAGCCATCAGCTGTGCTTGTAGAAATCATCATCCCCATTATCTCTCCTGATGTGTTTTATTATCTAGAGGAATTGCCTCATCTCCAGACGACACCGCTACCCGGGGTCCCGACAGCCGCCTCCCCGGGGGCCGGGGACGGACGAAGGCGGCGGGCCACGGCTCACCTGAGGCGGTGGCGGTGGCCACGCCTCTCCCTGCTGTGTCTTTAAAGCCCTCCTCCTCCTCTTCCTCCTCCTCCTCTCCATCCCTCCATTCCTACATCGCCGCTGCCGCTCGTAGCTGCCGGGCTCTGCCTCGGCCGCCTTCTCTCCCCACCCTCCCAATCCCCGCCACCAGCCATGGCCGACATGAAGACCGGCATCTTCGCCAAAAACGTCCAGAAACGCCTCAACCGCGCCCAGGAGAAGGTGCGCTGCGGTGCGGGGGAGCTGCTGGGAAGGGGCGGAGGGGGAAGAGGAGCGCGGCGGCGGCGGCGCGCAGGGTCCGCCGGAGGATGCGGCTCCGCTCGCCGCCGCTGCCGCTTCCCTCGCCGCGCCCGGGGCCCGGGGCGGCGGCGCTGTTACGTAACTGCCCCGGTTCCCCGCGCCGCCGGGAGCTCCGGGATGCGAGCTCCGGGATGCGAGCTCCGGGATGCGAGCTCCGGGATGCCGGCGGCACCTGCCGCAGGCCCCGCCGCCGCTCCCTCGCCCTTGGGGTGCGCGGGTGCCCGCGGGGATGGCGCCGCTCCGCACCCGGCCTGGGCGCCTTGCTGCCCCGGCCCAGCGGGGAACGCGGGCTCGGTTCGCCTCGCCTCGCCTCACCCCCGCCGCCAGCCCTGCTAAGAGGATTGCCTTTCCTTTAATATCCGCGCCGGCTCATCCCCGGCTGCGGCGATCCGCCTTGCTGCAGCCGCGGCAGACAGACACCGCTGCGGGGGATGACAGCAGCCCGCGGGGGCCGGGGGCTGGCGCAGCCCGCGCCTCCTTCGGCGGCTGCTGCGGTTTTGGGGAGCTTCTTGGGGTGTCAGGAGGCTGGTCCAGATGTTCTGCAGCTCACAGCTTGCGCTGCTTCAGAAAGTCAGGACCGATTCTAGCGTTATCGTAGCCTGGAAATGAACAACGGGTGAAGTGGGGGAGAATTTGCAGGAGTTCTGACCAAAGATGAGGGCCTTATGGGCCGCTGTCTGTTTTGTTCATCTTCATTAATGAAAGCTGATAGGTATAAGTGTTCCACACAGATAGCTCCTGTGTAGCTGTTGGGTGCCTCAAAACAGGATCTCAGATACAGATATTAGGCCCAACAGAAAAGCATTTGTGTGTGACTATACGTAGCAGCTTGTGTCTGCTGTTAGTACAGTTTACAATATAGCTGTTGCCAGCATGAATTTGGCAGACAGAGTTGGCAGTACGTGTTGTATCAGTACCCTCATCTCTTTTGAGGGTTAATAAAACCTTTATACCCCTCTAGCATATATCCTGAATTGTTATGCAGCTTAGGGAATAGGGCTTTTGCAAATGAGAAATATTATTTTGTGAGCATATTTCTTATACTTCACTGCCTGTAAAACTGCGCTTTCTTTTTGGCCACACATTGAATTCTGTGGAGCTCCAGCGGCAGAAAAAATTGCAACAATTAATATATCTTATTCATAATTGTGTTATTATTTAAGAATATAATAGTTGAGGCTGTCACAGACTAGTGATTAATTTTCCCTTTCAAATACTCCTGACTAGCTCACCAGGTTATAAAGTACTAGACTTTTCAGCACCAAAGTCATGATGCATTTCCATTCTTGCAGGTGTGGACTGCAACTGTTTTCAAGTAAAACATGTAAATCCTCTTTAATAGTTCGAAGATATCTGATGACTTTATGGTGTGAGTTGACTTGAGTTCATAGTTGGAGTCAAAGCCTAAAAATACTGTTTGTTTCCTTGTGTTTTTGTCAGTATGGTTACAATTAACCATCTGGAAAAGCACTGGTGCAAGTCGGAATCACGTGTACTGCTTCAAGCTCTGTCTGTTCCAATGTGGGGCTCCTGCTTACAGAAATGTGTGGGCATACTAGAGAAAACACCTGAATGTGCATACCTGAGATTCCCTGTACTCCTTAAATACTGTTCATGCACCAGCCCCAGGACAGGTGCCTTGAGTCTCTTGGGTGCAAATCAAAGATACTGTTGGGCTCTGACAGATGGTCTGCTCTACCTCCGCTTTGGTGATCAACCATGCTAACAAGGGGGAAATTTGTCTGGATTGATTTTCATGTATCAGTCAGGCATCTGTCAATTTTAGCTTCCTTATAGTATCTGTGGTGGTAATTTCTTATGTCAGTGGTGTAAAAGTTGCTTATTTACAGGGTTACTTACAGTATGTTAGTGGCCTTACCCAGTCATAGTACCAGTGGTCTGACACAGAGGACATTGTAGTACCGTGTACTTCTGTATACTTGCCTCCTCCTTCCTGGCCCATGTGTTGTTATTGCATGAGCTATGCATGTGTACTCTTTCATGTCTACATTTCTTCTTAGCTTTGAGTTTGTGTATGTCTATGCAACATAAAATCATTCGTTATTTTTGCTGAAACTTTACTCAAAATGAAAACAACAACAAAAAAGTACAAAACAGGCCCCAGATGGGAATGATTGAGTTTTGTTTGTTTTGGGTACTTGATAAAAACAAGTAAATTTTGTCTAGGAGTTGAAAATGTATGATTTGTCTGATTCTTGATGGTGTGAATAGGATGGCATTGTGAGATGTGTGTAATATCACACTGGCTTAAAGAGATTTTAAATACATTGAGTTGTTTTTATCTTGATGCTGATATTGGATTTGTGCACCCTCAGTTTACCGAATGTGTTCTTACAGATTAATGTTTTTATAAAGCATTTTTGCATTGCTTTCTATTATTTATTGATGGAACATATGTATTAAAAACATGGAGTGGCTCTAAAACATAGACCTTCATTTTGGATTTCAGTGAAGCTTTTGATATTGTCTCTCACAGGATCCTGCTGGATAAAATTGTCCAGCTCATAGCTGGATAAACACATTGTGCAGTGAGTGAGCAGGTGTCCCACAGGTTACTATCAAAGGGTTACAGTCAGTGGGATGACAGACTGGTGAGCTGTCACTAGTGAGGTGTTCCTCATGGCTTCATCCTCACCCCAGTGATATTCGACATCTTCACAAATTACTTGGATGCAGGACTGTAAGGGATACTAAGCAAGTTTGCAGATGATAGAAAACTGGGAGGAGTTGCTGACTCCCTTGAAGGCAGAGAGGCCCTGAAGAGAGGACTTGACAAATCAGAGAGTTGGGCAGTCACCCATCATATGAAGTTCAGCAAGAGAAAGTGCCAGATTCTGAACCTGGGATGAGACAACCCTGGATGTATGGACAGACTGGGGACAAGAAGCTGGAAAGCAGCCCAGAGGAAAGGGACCTGGGACAGGAAGTTGAATGTGAGTCAGCAGTGCTCTGGCAGCCAGGAGAGTCACTTGTGTCCTGGGTACATCAGGCTCAGCATCACAGACAGGCAAAGGAGGGGATTGTCCCCTCTGCTCTGCTGCAGCCTCACCTTGAGTCCTGTGTGCAGTTTTGGGTGCCACAATATAAGAAAGATATTAAACTATTAGAGTGCACCCTAAAAGAGAGTTAACAAAGGTCATGAAGGGCCTTGAGGGGAAGCCTCAAGTATGAGGAGTGGCTAAGGTCACTTGGTCTGTTCAGCATGGAGAAGAAGAGACTGAGGAGAGATCTGATAGTAGCCTACAACCTTTTCATGAGAGGGAGAAGGGCAGACACTGATCTTTTTTCTTATGGTGACCAGTGACACGACCTGATGGAATGGTCTGGAGTTTGTAAGGGGAGGTGTAGATTGGATATTAGAAAAAGGTTCTTCCTCAGACGGTGGTGGTTGGGCACTGGAGCAGGCTCTGCAGGGAAGCAGACACAGCACCAAGCCTAACAGAGTTCAAGAAGTGTTTGGACAATGCTCTTGGGCATATGGTGTGACTCTTGGGGATGGTCCTGTGCAGAACTGAGAATTGGACTAGATCTCAGATTCATTTATGTAAGCTATTTTTCTAATAATGCCACCATTATCTTCAGTTCATTGATGACTAAGTGTTGTAAATGCAGGCAAACCTGATGGGAAGAGATGAAGATGTCTGACTTAATTCAGAAGGCTGAATGATTTTTTTTATTATAACTATGCTAAAATACATTAATATACTATATAAAGGAAGATACTAAAAACTACAAACCTGCTTGTTCGAACTATATCTCTAACACAACTTGTGAGCCTCTCGTGAGAGTCCAGACACAGGTGGATCTGATTTGCCATCAGGCTCAAACAATCCTTCACCAGAATCCAATCAAGCAATCACTCCAGGTAAACAATTCCTCCAAACACATTCCATGTGAGAAAAACAAGGAGCAGAAATAGAAATTGTTTTCTCTTTCTGTCTCTCTGTGCACCTCTATGAAAAATCCTGAGAGAGAAATGTGCTGCCACAGTCTAGGAGAAATTTTACTTGTACAGTGTATGTAGTGTGTGTCTATAGTCACTATTTATATAACAAAAGCTAAGTAACTGTAAAATCTTGTATTGGGCAGATCTCGGTCTTGCATTAGAAGTGTTAATCTGAGAGTTATATGGAAATAATAATTGACCACTCTTTCACATCATCCAACCAGCACTCCCAAACCCTTTTCTGCAGGGTTACTCTCCAACCACTCCTCTCCCAGCTCAGACTTGTGTCTGAGATTACTCCATCCAGGTGCAGAATCCAGCATTTGGTTGGTTTTGTTCAGTTTCATGCTGCTGGTGATCGCCCAATACTCCAGTCTGTCCAGATCTCTCTTGTCCCATGGGAGAGTCAGTAGCACTTCCCAGTTTGGTATCATCACCTGACTATCTGTGCATTGAACCGCAGCCTCCAGATCACTGATAAAGAGACTGAACAGAGCTGCCTCTAGACCTGAGCCCTGAGGAGCACCACTGGTAACTGGTCACCAGCCAGATGTCTTGTTTGCTGCAATAATTTGAGCCCTGCTCTTCAACGAATTCTCTGCCCAGTACACTGCATACCTGCCCATCCCACTGTTGGAAAACTTGTCTGGATGGAGGCTTTGAGGGACAGTAGCAAAAGCCTTTCTAAACCCCATTAAAACTGGGAGTTTAAATCCAGTGTCTTCACTTCATCCAGGCAGGTGACCTTATTGTAGAAGGTTATTAAATTAAACAGGACTTTGCCTTTGTGAACCCATGTTGTCTGTGTCTGATGACTCTGATTTTTCGAATGCCTTTTAATAAAATCCAGTGTGATTTTCTCCATATTTTTTTTCAGGTATTGAGGTTAGATTAAGATGTCTGTAATTTCCTTGGTCTTCTGTCTTGCCCTTCTTGGAAACTGGTGTAACTTGGC